CCCCTGGCGGGGACGGCCCCGTCCCCCCCCCAAAGCGGCAGCGCGCGCACGATGGCTACGGGGAGGCTGGTACTGCTGGCCACAGCCAGGAGCCAGCACCAGCAGCAGGGGATGGGCATTTTGGTGTCCAAACCCAGGTGCCACCAGGCAGCTGCTGGGGGAGCTGAGGCTTAATTAATGGTAGTGCTAATCCAGTAAATGCACTACCTCTGCTTAGAGGGGCACGAGAGGACAGTCTTGAGGCTCGTCTCTTGTTTTACCCGAGTTACCGCTCACATCCTGGAGCCCTTTCCTGAGTTTCTTGGAAGTCACCGCCTGACTCATACCAAGGTCAAAGAAAACAAAGCCACCTCTGAAGTACAAGCAGCTCAAAACCCAACTGCCCTCCCAGATCGCTAATTCTCCATTTGCAGATCAGCTCTGGAAGGCAACGGGCTCTGCAGACCGGCCCAGACCTGCCGAAAGGGTGGGAACAGGGCTCCGTCCCAGCCCTGCGAGGGGAGCCAAGTGCCACCACCACTGCCCGGGGTCTTTGCAAATCCAGAAGATTCCTTCTGAGGCTCAGCAGCAGCTTTTACAGAGATTGCCCAACCCTAACAGCCCCATGCCCTGAAGGGCAGAGGGATGGGGGCCCGCACGCAGCCCCCGGGCTGGCAGGAACGCCACGCAGCGAGGCATATGGCTCCCGTGAAGGGCAAATGCAATTTTTAAGTTGTGTGCACCGCCAGCCAGAGCCCCATTTACGGCTCAGCCACGGCTCAGGAGCTCCCGTACTATCTGCCGGTGCTGTGAGCTGAAATCATCCCATTGCCATGGCAACCGCATCCCATGCCCCGGGCATGCTAATAACGCTTGGGAGAAGCCGAGTCCCCGGCAGCAGCCTCCGGATGCAGGGAGGAGGGAAGCCCCAGCCACCGCCAGGGCTGGAAACGAGAGAAATTCATCGCCGTGGAGCTCCGAAAATTAAAAAAAAAATGCATGTAAGGGAGAAGAAAATAAAAATAACCTGAAAGGCAGCGACCGGCCCCGCTTCTTGCACCCGCAGCGGGCTGTGCCCGGCTACAGCCACGGTCCGGCCAGGGAGAGGAGGAGCGAGCCATGGGCTGCATAGACTGAGCCAGAATTAGGTTTCCGCTTTGGGTA